ATTCCAGTAAAATTTATCACCAACTAATAAATTTAAAATCGTTATATTACTGTTTTTTTTCCTAAATGAATTTTAGCGCATCAATATTTAATAATTGCTAAAAAAAAAAATCGATCAATGTAGCACACACATCATTTAATTAGAAACCACATTAAAAAAAATTATAGATGCTTGCGTTTGGTATCAAAGCATGATATTCAAAACAAAATTAGAGACAACATCAAATATGATCTATGATATTCGTTTAAAATTTTAAGTGTTTCAAATCAAAAATTACAAAACAGAATCGATAAATCAAGTTATAAAATGTTTTTGTTATGTTTTTTATTTATAATTTGTTGCCATTAGTTCCATAAGTCTTTTTTTATTTCACTGATATATATATTAGATTTTACTTTACATATCAAAATTTTATAGTAAACTTGAGATGAGGAGCAAACACCTAAAACATGAAGAGTACGTATTTCTGTGATTTCACTGTCTTAGTCAACTCTTGATTCTAATTTTGGAGAGTGTTTTCTATATCACTATAAACTTTGGCTATTATATATTTCCCTTAAAGTGTTCAATATTATCAAACCGTCAAAAAAATTTTAATTTGTAACAAAATTTTCAGTTAGTTAAGAGTTTTTCACAAACCTATTATCGGATAATTACCTTTTAGAGCATGATTATCAAGGATGTCTTAAAAATGGTTCTTAAGAATATTAAAGTAATAAATTTAAAAATGGCTCTTAAAAGTGGTTCTTAAGTGTGTATTTGTTTCTTAGGTAAGCAACTCACCTTAGATTTAAAACTTATTTGGGAATTAATTTTAATCATTTAATTGCTAAGATCATTTAAAAAAAATCTTAAGATCCTCTTGTTAATCATGGTCTTAGGTTGAAGTCCAAAACTTAGTAACTTGAATCAATTAGACAACCAAGATTTAAACTATGCGTCCGTCTAGAGGTTTTGTGACACATTTGGGATAAAATGAAACATAATTTTGACGCACGTTTTCTATCTTTTTCGTAAAGTATAATTGGAACAATTTGGTTCAAATAATCTCTCTTGGCCGTATTGATTAAATTAGTTTGTTTCTCATGAGATTTGTATATCAAACACCATCTGTCAGATTTGGTAGGAACGGAACAGACGACGCCATGTTGAAGTCTCTCTATCAAAAATATATAAGATTAATGAGCATTATTGACAAAACAGTTATAGATAAAACTCATCTTCATCCGAGCTCAAGAAGATCACATATAGAAGAACTCCTAGTGACTTGGTTTGGAACTCGTAGCTAAAGAGATCTTCGTCTATTTCATATATTCTTTCAAAAAAGAAATTCACTCTAGTTCTTTCCAATTATCTTAATCTTTTTCAAAATAGTAATTACATTTTGATTGTACAACGTCTTTTTTGTTGCAATAATGTTTAACATTAAAAAAAAATGCATGCAAACTATTTAGCTTACTATTAATTATGTGCAAAAATACTTTCGATCACAAGTTAGTTATATCACGCGGGGAATTGCTCCTGTACCGTGTATCCTTGGACTCCAGAGGGTCCCTTAGAGTTGGAAGAACTCCAGACTGCTCCTACTTGGGCTGTGTTGCGTAATGTTCCGCCTCAGCTTTACTCCTTAGAAGGGATTAGTGTCATCGCTAGTGGGATTGGCGAACCACTTCATACTGAGAAATCTTGGTTAGATCCGATCAACATTGGGATCACAAAAGTTAAGGTCATCATCAAACTTGATTCGGTTTTGCCTACCACAGTTGTAGTCCGAGATACTCAAGGGAATTCTGCGCGTGTTACGGTGGAATACCCGCGTCCTCCCCCCAAGTGTTTAAATTGTGGCAGGTTTGGGCACCTTCTCAGTCGGTGTCCTAAACCATTAATGAAGAAGCTTCCCTTCAGAAAACTCACACCGTCAGGTTCGAAGGATGTCACCTACCCTGCTGCTGTCCTTCCTTCTGGAATAGGTTCTGGTTTCGGGAAGGGATCTGTAGGCTCCTCTGAGGCTGCGAGCTCTAAAGGGAAAAGGAGGCGATCACGTTCTAAGAGGCGAGCCAGCAGCCTCCCTCCAAGAATCATTGTTCCCCAGCAAGTTGATAAGGGGAAGAAGGTTATGGATTCTGCAAATGTTTTAGGTAAGAAGTGGGTGGTAAAGGTACCGGATCATAAAGTAACAGTGCCTTCTAATGGTCCAGGTACTTCTGAGAAAGGTTCTGTGGCTTCTACTTCTTCTCACCTCGTTCAGGTAGCTTCGGATTGCATCGCTGGTCATAATCCGAAGACGAGCACAAGTAGCATTACCATTATGGCTGAAGTCAACCCAAAAGTGGTGGTTGAAAATGCCCTGTTCCCAATCCCTCCTGGATGGGGGGCTATGTCTCAGAAATCTCGTAAGAAATTACAGAAGATTTGGTTCAATCAAATGAGATCAGAAGCTCAAGCTGTAGCGCGGGGAGAAGCCTCGAGCTCAGCTGCTAATATCTGAATCAAGGTTCAGACCTTTTTTGTGTAGTAATGACGATCTTTTGTTGGAATATTCGTGGTTTAAATAGCCCATCTCGTCAAAGAGTAGTAAGAAGTTTTATTGCTTCAAATAAGTTACTGGTTGGGGGCATTTTGGAAACTCATGTGGCAGAGGAGAATGCAGCATCAGTTTTGGCGGCTACCCTTCCAGGTTGGAGAATGGAAAATAATTACTGCTGTTCAGAACTGGGAAGGATCTGGTTAGTGTGGGATCCTTCGGTCTCTGTTTTGGTCTTCAAAAAATCTGAGCAAATGATCCTTTGTTCTATCAAAGTGCCAGATGTAGCATCATCCTTTGCTGCGGCTTTTGTGTATGGGAAGAACACTGATATTGAAAGAAGGCTACTGTGGGAGGATATATCTTTTTTGGCTCCCAGCTCTCCTTTGTGTGATACTCCCTGGTTGTTAATGGGAGACTTCAACCAGATTGCATCAACCTCTGAGCACTTCTCTATCAATCCTTCTTCTTTCTCTTTAAGTGGGCTTGATGATTTTCAGAGTTTTCTAAGAGACAATGATTTGGCTGACCTACTTTGTAGAGGTGTGTTTTTTACTTGGTCTAATCATCAGCAAGAGAATCCTATAATCAGGAAATTAGACAGAGCAGTGGGGAATGGTCCTTGGTTCAGCACTTTTCAAAGCGCAGTGGTAGTGTTCGATCCTCCTGGGGATTCTGATCACTCCCCTTGCATTATCTCGTTGGTGAACCATCCTGATCACTCAAAAAAGTCCTTTAAATACTTTACCTTTATGGCCTCTCACCAATCCTTCCTCTCTTGTTTGTATGCTGCTTGGGAAGAGGAGACCCTGTGTGGTTCCATGATGTTTGTTCTGGGGGAGAAATTAAAGCAGGCAAAAAAAGCTTGTAGGCTCTTAAACAGGCAAGGTTTTGGGAATCTTCAGCAAAGAACAAATGAAGCCTTGACTCGGCTTGAAGATATTTAAACTCAGCTCCTATCCACTCCCTCTGATTCTCTTTTCAGACAAGATCATGTAGCCAGGAAAAAATGGAAATTTTTCGCTATTGCCTTGGAATCCTTTTACAGGCAGAAATCAAGAATAAAGTGGCTGAGGGACGGTGATGCAAATACCAGGTTCTTCCATATGGCGGTTATTGCTCATCATTCCAAGAATCTTATTAAATATCTCAGGGGTGAAGATGACTCAAAGGTAGAGAATGTGCAGCAGATCAAAGATATGATCATTACCTATTACACGCATCTCCTAGGGACTGAAAGTGACTCTGTTATGCCCTTATCTATTGAAGATATTAAGTCCATTCATCCTTTTCGTTGTGATGACACTCTGGCTGCTAGGCTTTCGGCTATTCCCACAGATGAGGAAATATCTCAGTGTGTTTTCTCTATGCCCAAGAACAAAGCTCCAGGCCATGATGGCTTTCCAGCTGAATTCTATTGGGATTCTTGGCAGGTGGTTAAGGACAGTGTTATTTCTGCTGTGAGAGAATTTTTCTTGACTGGTCATCTTTTGAAGAAGTTCAACACCACGGCCATTACTCTTATTCCAAAGGAGACGGGTGCTGATCGTCTTTCTCAGTTCAGACCGGTTGCTTGTTGCAACACTGTTTACAAAGTCATCACTCGGCTCATTTCCCGGTGCCTCAAGCTCTTTATCGCAAAGGTTGTCCAAGGTAATCAAGTCGGGTTTATTAAAGGGAGGTTACTTTGTGAGAATGTCCTTCTTGCTTCCGAGTTAGTGGAGGGTTTTCATGAGGATGGTGTTACCTCAAGAGGCTGTCTACAGATTGATTTGACTAAAGCTTATGACAATGTAAACTGGGATGTTCTGATCAATATTCTTCGCGCTATGGACCTCCCAGCGATATTCATTAATTGGATCAGAGTTTGCATTTCCACTCCCTCTTACAACATTGCTTTCAATAGTGAATTGATTGGTTATTTTCAGGGTAAGAAGGGCATTAGACAAGGGGATCCTATGTCTTCCCATTTGTTTGTTCTTGTGATGGATATTCTCTCCAAGTTTTTGGACAAAGGAGCAATAAACTCTCTTTTCCAGCTGCATCCTAAATGCTGTGTTCCAATGATCACTCAACTCAGTTTTGCGGATGATGTTCTGGTTTTCTTTGATGGTTCAGAGGCATCTATTGCTGGAATTCTAAAAATTCTTGATGACTTCAAGAGTGGGTCTGGTCTGGGAATAAACAAACAGAAGACAGCTCTTCTCCTTGATGGTGGTGATTTCGACAGACTGAAGAGTATCTCTGAAAGATTTGGGGTTTCTCATGGCTCTCTACCTGTTAAATATTTAGGAGTCCCCTTGATGGCTCAGAAGATGAGAAGGCAGGACTACTAACCACTACTTGATCGAATCAACTTCAAATTCTCTTCTTGGACAGTCCGCCACCTATCTTTTGCTGGGAGGCTGCAACTCCTAAAATCTGTGATTTATTCCACTATTAACTTTTGGACATCTGTCTTCCTCCTTCCCAATCAATGTCTATTAAAATTGGAGCAGATTTACTGGAAAAGGACCTATTTCCACCCCTACTATTTGGACGGTTCCGTTTCCTACCCACACAACGAGTTGGTGCTTATATTGTTTGTAAGGCAAAGGAGTGTGGAGGGCTTGGCCTTAAAAGGTTAACTTCTTGGAACAAAGTTTTTGCTCTAAAGCTTATTTGGCTGCTTTTTACAAAGGCTGGTTCCCTTTGGGTTTCTTGGGTGAGGATTAATCTTATTGGTAATCGAAATTTTTGGACTCTCAATCCTTATTATTCGGGCAGCTGGATATGGAGAAAATTATGCAAGTTACGATCTGTAGCTAGACCATTTGTGATTTGTGAGATTGGCTCAGGTGTGACTGCGAGCTTTTGGCAAGACAACTGGACTGGTTTAGGCCCTCTGATTGATCTCACTGGCCCCACTGGTTCTCAGGTGATCGGACTGCCTCTAAAAGCTGTGGTAAGAGAGGTGCTTGGGAGTAATGGTTGGCGGGTCACAAATAGTCGCAGCAGGAATCCTGTCATCTCTCTCTTAAGAAGTGCCTTGCCAGAGGTTGGAAACATGCGGGAGTGTGTGGATGATGATGTTTTCTTGTGGAAGACTGATCATCATCCTCCTTCATGCCTTTTTTCTTCACCTAAAACCTGGCTGGCTTTAAATCCTCTTGATAACTCTGTCGCTTGGCATAAATCTGTATGGTTTAAGGATCGCATTCCAAAGCATGCGTTTATTTGTTGGGTTGTTGCTTGGAACAGATTACACACAAGGGATAGACTTACGAGCTGGGGTCTCTCTGTCTCTCCTTTGTGTGTTCTATGCAATGCTTGCCATGAGTCTCGGGATCATTTGGTCTTTGAATGTGTGTTCAGCCAAGAGGTTTGGAAGTTCTTCACTTCGAGAGCAAATCTGACTCCTCCATCCTCTTTCATGGCGTCTCTTCTCTGGATTAAGACTGCTTCCAGGGACTCAAACCTATCACTCATATTGAAGCTCATCTTCCAGGCTGCTATATATCTCCTTTGGAAGGAGAGAAACAGTCGGATTCACTCTTCTACTACTAGACCTCCTGCCTCGATCATACGAGACATCTCTATGACGTTAAGGGCGCGTCTTGATCCTCTTTCCCGGATTCAGCTGGCCTCCGCCCCTGGTTCTTCTTTGCTTTCGACTTGGTTCCGCTTCTTTGGGTAAGGTTTCTTTTTTCCCTTGTGAGCTTCCTGTTTGGTTTTGGGTTGTTGTTCCTCTGGTTTTTGCTGCTGGCTGTTGGTGTGTTGTGGACCTGCGTGTCCCCTTGTTGGGCCTCCTGGCCTTGTATTTCAGGTTTTAATTTTCGGGCCTGCGTGCCTTTGTTGGGCTTGGTTAGGCTTGTAATTGTTCTGTTTTTAATGGAAATTTAAAATTAAAAAAAAAAAAAAAAAAAAAAAAAAAAAAAAAAAAAAAAAGTTATCAGATATTTTTTCAAAATCTGTTTCACAAGTTAGCTATACCGAGTCGTGACCATCGGAACCATCAATTCATTGCAAATACTATTTTGCATTTGATAGATTTCGATTTCATAGCTTGAAGTAATATTTTAATAAGAGCAAAAATATCAGTAGCTTGATCATATCATGACAAAAAAAAGCATTCATTTAAAAATTTAAAGGATATGCTTTTACCTTAGGGTTTCATTGTTTTGACGTGACTAATTATAGTGGCATGCATGTCAACCATCAAACAAATGTAGATAAGGAGAGAGAGAGGATTAGAGACTTCGCATTTTAATGATTGTTAAGTTCGTAAACTTAATTGTAACCTCGGTCTGGTTATTAATTTATGTATGCTTTTGATAGTAGATCCCTTTGATTTATTTATTCAAAGCAAATAAACTTTGGAGGTTTTAAAGATATGATCTTTTACAAAAAAAGCTTTCGATCCATGCATGCAGAAATACATATGATTCAATCCACTCCCTCCATGCAAATTTCAATAGATACTCTACTTAATTAATTCCATCCTACTCTACTTTCATTTCTGTATATATTTTTATAGATATATCATCAACTTTTATTTTTACTTTGAAAACACTCAAACACACACACACACACACACACTTTTTCATGAAAAATTCTTTGTTTGATTTTTTTTTTCTTTTCGAAAAAGAGTATTTGATGTTGTAAGTAGAGTTACAATACTTTTTTTTTTTTGCTTTTTAAAAAAGGATATTCTATTATTGAAATAAATAAAATAAAATGTTAGCCTCATGTACCACCAGCTTGTTAGAAAAAAGCTCTTCCCATATCAATCCACACGAGTATATACATTTATTGGGTCGTTCATCAGTTAATTTCGTATCCACTACGAAATAATTTTTTTTTTTTTGTTAAAGACCTAGCTATGAAATCATTTGTTTGGCGCCTTTTTTAAGAGACTTGCATGCAACTCTGTATCGTAGATTTGTAACGTGGGAGCTTGATTGTTTATGTCTTATTTTGCAGACAATGATGAACGGTATTTGTGTTTTCCATATGGGATGCAATAATACCGATCGCCATGCAATGCAACTTACGTAATGTACTCAAATTATTATCTATATATGTTTATATATTTGGGGCTGAGGAAGTTCTTTTGGGATAATGATACTTCTACGTTTCTAAATAAAATAAAAAATTGAGGATTAATTTCAGTAGAGAGAAAAAATCTATAGAGTGCATCAATGCAACACATTGCCACATCTAGTTTTTTTTTTTTTTTTTGATGAAATGTAAAACAATTTATTGATCAAGTGAAAATGCTTATTTACAAAAGAATGAGAACTTATGAAAAAATTAGAGGTATATATATCTTTCTAAAGTTGTGTATTTAAAAAATTTCTAAATATCTATAAAATATAAAATTTGACCCAATAAACAATAGTTTGGTACTAAAAATGGTCATGTTGCGTGAGTTCAAAAATTGATTTGCATTAGACGCATTTTTAGCTATTGCAAACTAAAAATTCTATATAATGATTAAAAATATGAAAATGAGTTGAATGTTGATGTGAGTTCTTCCAGTTACAAACTAAACAGTATAAAATGAGGGTTTAATAATTGAATAAATAACTTACAAATTTTATATTCATAATTTTCAATCCGAGGACAATGGGTATATTTCTTAACATCTTTTTACCTAAGAAACCTATAACAAGAAATATAGACCCTGTTTTACTTTAAATCCGTATACAGGATTCCGATTGTAATACAATTATGTAATTAATAAAATTAGCATTCACGTATTCTTTTTTTTATTTATAAACCCTATCGGTTATCCGGTTGACCCCGATAGGAATGCACTGAGGTGGTACATAGTGGACTGACTGGTCCACCGTGTTAATGGTTAGGCATTTACGGGCTACCACTCTGTCTATCCCGAGTTTGGAATGCTTTCCGACTAAGTGACAGGGGTAGTCATGCCGCCTGCATTTCTGATTATTAGGTAAACCAATTGGACCAAAGCCCAACTGACAGACTTCCCACGATAATGTTGAAAACAGCACGAGGAGTCGAACATACATGTATTATACGTATTCTACGAACATACATGCGCATAAAAAAGGTTCAAGTGTTGAAGGCAAGAAAATTTTAAAAAGTAATTATTCTACTTATAGCTCGTGCACATGAATTAGAGATTCGTAAATCAAATCCTTTTTAAAAAGAAAGTATGAGAAGCAATCATGCAAAACCAATAGCTTTTCGAAGTTTGAAAAAAGTCACTATATTTGTTTTATTAAAATGGAAACGAGATCTACATAGGATGCCTCCAAAATCTTCCAATTTCTTGTAAGTTTGAAAACATATACATCACTCATGGATTTGCCTTGTTGAATAAGACCGCTTATGAACTATTTGTGGTCCTAAACTAAAATTTAGCGAATCGCATTGTTCTTATTTGTGGTTTTCTTGATATTTTGTCGTATATATATTACACGTCTAGCTCGGTCTACTTACCTTTCATAACATATTATAATTCTTATGGTATGTAATTATGTAGCAATGGTGATTTAAGAACCTAACAAGAAGAAAAAATTCAATAGATGTTCTTCTCAATTTTCATTTACTAATTTTCATCTGATTTCCATAAATTAATATAGTACCACATTTACTACGTTTAAGAAATCTACATTTTTTTACCATTGAGATTATTTTTGAAACAATAGGGAAGTAGATTTTATGAAACATTGAACCATTAACTCCACCTATTTCAAATTGTATACATAATTAGAAATGCTAGATTCACCTAAGATTTCCTGTCCCCAAAGAAATTAAGAGAGACATGAATGAATGAACGAACTTTTTTATAAAAATAAAAAGAAAAGAAAATAGTCAATTTAATAAAATAATGAATGAATATTGCCAAAACAAACAAAAAAAAATTTAATGAATGAATGGGTTACACTACATAGTTTTCTTTTCACTTGGCTCCCAATTTTGCAAATACTTGTCCTTTTTCATTGCACTTGGTGACAATCTTAGTACTACAACAAAAAGATTTTGACCAGTCTTCTCAATCACACACCCACATGAAATAAAAATAATAATCAAAACTATCCCCAAAACTTAAACACACATAACACTACACCTATCCCCACCTCAAGACAATCCCTTTCTTCTCCCCTTTCTCCAACACCTACCAAAAGCCTCTCCATCTCTCTTTCTCTCTCTAGTTCTTGATTTTTCAAGATTTCAAGAAAAAACATGGCTGACCAAAGTGGTGGGTTGGTTATGATGAGAGAGTACAGAAAAGGTAATTGGACTTTGAATGAGACGATGGTGCTCATTGAGGCCAAGAAGATGGATGATGAGAGGCGGATGCGGCGGTCCATCGGCTTACCACCACCGGACCAGCAACAAGATAGCCGGAGTAATAGTAGTAGTAGTAATAAACCGGCGGAGCTACGGTGGAAGTGGATAGAAGATTACTGTTGGAGAAAAGGTTGTATGAGAAGTCAGAATCAGTGCAATGACAAATGGGACAATCTCATGAGAGACTACAAAAAAGTTAGAGAGTACGAGAGACGAAGGGTAGAATCGTCTTTTACCGCCGCTGAGTCGTCTTCATCTTCAGCTCCAGCTGGAGAAACGGCGTCGTATTGGAAGATGGAGAAGAGTGAGAGGAAAGAGAGAAGCTTACCAAGTAATATGTTACCTCAAACATACCAAGCTTTGTTTGAAGTGGTTGAGAGTAAAACGCTGCCTTCTTCCACCGCCGCAACCGCTGTAACCGCTGCAGTTGCGGCTGCTATTAATAGTGGAAACGGTTCAGGCGGTGGACAAATCCAAAAAGTTATACAACAAGGTTTAGGATTTGTTGTTCCTAAAGTACATCAAATCATTCAGCAACCTGTTTTATTACCACTTCAGCCACCACCGCCACCACCACCACCACCGTCTCAGCCGTCACAGCCGTTACCACGTCCACTACTACTGCCACCGCCTCCACCGCCTTCTTTTCATGCTCAGCCAATACTGCCCACAGTAGGTACCTTCTTTCTCTCTCTTCTTAACTTCTACCATTGCTCTAAGTTTTATTATTTGAGAATTAAATAATCTGACATTTAAAAAAAAAACCCACATAGTAATTTACTTATATTAGTTTGATTACACTTGAAAAATAAAATCTTTAATATACAATTTAGTGCAACTCTTATGTATACTTTTGTTTGATACAACTTTTAATTAACCAGTGGAAAAGAACAAAAAAAAGAATAATATATACATTACATTATATCTTTAATTTTAATTATATTAACAAGTTATTTGGTTCGGATTATGTTTAATAACTTTGTTGAAGAAGGATAGTAGTAGCTCATCAGATTCTGATACGAGTGAGTATTCAGACACATCTCCGGCGAAGAGAAGGAGAACAATGCCGACCACAACCACTGGTCCCAGCGGCGGCGGTGGCCTAGAAGCGGAGGAGGTTGGACGTAGTAAGAAAGATGAAGAGACGACAGTAGCGGCTGCGTTATCAAGAAGTGTGTCAGTGATCGCAAATGCGATTAGGGAGAGTGAGGAGAGGCAAGATCGGAGACATAAAGAAGTGATGAATGTCCAAGAGAGGAGACTCAAGATCGAAGAATCTAATGTTGAGATGAATAGAGAAGGCATGAATGGATTAGTGGAAGCCATTAATAAGCTAGCGAGCTCTATTTTCGCTTTGGCTTCTTCTCGCCATAATAATCAGCATCAAGGAGGTCCATTACCATGATAACTTACATAATTATTATGTAGTTAAGTTGATTAGGGAAGTGATTAAATTGTGGAGAGTGATGATTGGAGTACATAAATTGATATTGAAGTTTAATTCTTGTTTTCATCACTCTTAATGTTTTTAAGTAAATTGTTGATTTCATGCAATATTAATTGAAATGTATGGATATATAGTTGATTTACCATATCACAATAATGCGATATGATCCGAGAGAAGGAGTTTAGACTAGATATGCATTCATAATATGTGGTTATGAATATTTCATATTCCTATATATAGATAAATTAAACCAAATTAAGGTGCTTAGTAATATCTTGTTTATTTAGGTCAAAAACATATCTTTTGTTACTTATTACGTAGATATTTTCATTACCATATATACGTAAACTGCATTCTAGTCGATTTAGACAGTTTGAGATTATGAAAGTTCAAGCAAATGAAGCTTTAAACGGATACACGTAAATGTAATGCAAGATTAGCATTGGTGTAACCAAAAAAGACTTGGAAGGACGTAGTAGTCGATAGCTAATCATGGACATAATCATGCAATTAAAGAAAGAAAGAAGGTGTGGAACTTTTGGATTGGGAGAGTGAGTGAACGCAGCGGAGAGTGGCGCGTAGGGAAGCATTTAAGTGAGAAAGAAAGTGGTCAAAGGGGGCAGAGAGAGCAGTCAAAGGAAGGGGAAGAGTGTGGAGGCCATTCTATTGAGTATTATTGGTTCCCCTCTCATTCTTCTCTCTCTCTTCAATACATCAAAAGCTTAGTCACAAAAAAACTTTATAGTAATTTCTTTAGCTTCTAGATTTCTGAATGTTAATCAACTTTTAAGTTGGTAGTACTTCAAATCACTAAATTGTGAAGAATAATGTAGTTAATAGTGAAGTTAATCTAAAATCGAGTTTTACGAGTTCTCCATGAATGTTAGTAAGTCTTGGCATACCGTTTTATAAAGAAAAAACGATTTGGTCTAGTTCGTAAACATTCAAACTTTATAATAATCTTATTCTCTTAGCTTGCAAAATATACATACTAAAGAATAGTTGGTGTATGGTATATATGTGATCTCATTACACTATAATTAAACCGGTCTTTACGGTTATCTCACTACATTTTTGCAAACTTTAAAATAAATTGAGAAACCGTCTCATAGCATAATGGAAAAACGGATTAGACACGACCCACACGTACTTCAACTTTAACTCTAGCTAGTTAACACATCTAACTTGGTGGGTTTAGGTAGAATACTTAAGCCACTCTTCAATTTTGGATTTTCTCTTTAATTAGATCTCAACATCTAAGAATGTGGTCAAATAAAAGTGGAAACTAATCGATCTAAGTGGAACTTGAATAACCATGCCTCATATAGATGTATAGTCAATGCAGATCCTAAAAACACACGTAAGGTCCATCTTATGAACACGATAGTTCAATATTTTATTTGTTAGTGAAAAAGGGGAAATAAAAGGAACCCATGAGGGGTCACAACAATAAATCACAATGGGCCAATTTGGGGAAGCAATATAACATGATATAATATACAAATGTTTATAGAAAAAAGAAGTGATGTATGTAATGTGTATAGTGTTGTACTCTATGGCCAAAAGTGCTTCTCTTTTTCTTCCCCCACACCCTTCAGATGCAGCTTTTCTACAGAGAAAGTGAGCTGTGTTGAAATAAATAATGACCAATAATATTGAAATAAAATTAGAAAATACATTTTAGATAGAGACTGGTGCGCTATGTTAACTTATGACACACCAAATTGTACCTGAAAATCAAATCTAAAAAAATCTATTCGTGTGATTATAAATAGTTTACTGTGACTGATATACAGACATACAATTTTAAATTACATGGTTAATTGATTTATGAGATTAAAACATTATATTGCTTCACAAATTACGACTAAATATCACTTGTATACATTAGATGTCTATATGGCCAAAAAAAAAAAAAAACATTAGATATCTATACATTTTTTAATTCAAATAAAAAACATCTAATAGTTTGTATTAATGTCCTCATGCTATCACCATTCGGATTCAAAAACCGGTAGAATGAATAGTGTTGACAAATATATTTTTTTTTGCTAATAAGAAACACTATTCTTTTTGACAAAAGAAAAAAGAAACACTATTTTTTTTCTTATAGAAACAAAGGAAAATAAAGTAAACAAGACTAAATACACACAATCAGGCACATAGCTTTGTTTATATCCGTACATTATCCTGTTTATTATATAAAAAAAGAGAACTCTCAATGATGTGGACATACGAATACGCAGTTCATGTGACATTGCAGTAATTCGTATTGTGCAATTGTCTTCATTGATGGGCCGACGATAACCACAAGGTCCACAACTAGTCATATAATTGCCTTCACGAGCCGAGTTTACATGTATTCCACCAAACTCTACGCTATGTCTATTTTATGTTTATGTATGTATGTGCAATTATGTCCATGTCTGCGACAAAATACCTCTACTTATGTTGTTGTTACTGAGAATATTGAACCAAAAATAGTAAACCAGTCACCAAATGTTTTTTCTTCTAGTTTTCACGCTATAGAACTTGAACACAAAATAGTTTCATCATTTGGGTAGTACTGTACCGATCTCCGGTAAAACCAAATGTAGCAGAAATTAAATTAATACCCTAGAGCCAAAGCTATAAGAATGCAAACAGAATTACATTGTATAATGAGAAAACGTAAAGAGACTTGAATTTTTGATCATTTACAGAGTCAGAGGATCGTATCATTAATCATTTTTGCTTTTTTTTGTTTTTCTTTCTCCATCAGACAAAAACTACTTACACTAGAGAGACAGACATATGTCAGAGGGATGAAGAAGAAGAAGATGAAAACTGATGAAACACAAGTGAGGAAGACTCACCAATCTCAACATTCACATCTCTTTGCTAATGTTTTCTTTACCCCTCTCACAATCTTGCCAAACCATATCAAGTTCATGACACCAAGAGCAGCTGGTACGCCGAATACTAGAACGTAACCGAAGATGTGCATCCTCATGACCTACCACAAAACAAAGTAATTCCATTCCAATCACACCAAAAAATAAAACATCTGGAAATGAAAGCATTGTGATGTATTAAGTTAATGGGGGAGGTTTTGAAGCAATCGGGTATCAACATAATCAATAAAACCACTAGATAGTGAAGAGAAGGGGAGTATGAGTTTTACCTGGTTGTAGTGGAGATAAACATGATAAAACATGTATATGAACAGTAGGATTCTAGCAACCTGACATGAAAGTGTTTAAGTGATAAGTAGACACATAAATGCCTAGCATTAAAATGAGTCGAATGTTGATTAGGATTTTGAAGTACCAGCCAAGCCAAGAAGATGAAAACGCCATTAACAACATATGCCAATGACTTCTTCATACCAGCCGTGTCCAGGTACCTTCATAAGACCCCCGAGACAATCCGCTTTTTTGTCAGAAGAAAGATTGCTAATGTGATAAGTTTTGTTTGGTATACGAAGAAAAGAGGAAGTACCATCTCAAGTTGATCTCTGGGGTTGTAATCTCGGAGATGAGGACCATGTAGGTATATAACTGTCCTTCCCCAGAAAACAAAGAGTAGGCGACTGCCACTCCCGATAGCGAGTGATGCACAATCTGAAATCATAATGTCAACTCTATCTTAGTTTTGGCGTTAGCTATCTTTACACATTATTACTATTGAGCAATGTAGCGAGGCAAGTACATAAACCGAAACTGAAACATCAACATGCCGAATATTATTAGGAAGGATTTTGCATATCTTTGGAGAAATCAGTAGATAGAGCAAAGTGTTTGGTCTAGAAAAGTTACTTACATACTCAATTCCACCCAAAGAAGGATATTTCCAGAAGATCATCCCAAGATCGGCAAGGAAGTAACCAATAGATATCTGCAAATCATTAATGAAAAAATGTTGAGAATTCTTCTCTCATAGACTCTACATTAGCTTTTGAATCCACTAAAATGAGTGCTTACCCCTAAACCAAGAGAAGAAAGCCGTGAGCTCCGGAAAACAACAAGATCATTATGCCACCTATCGGAAAAGAGATCGGACCAGAATACAAAGTACAGGGACAAAGCCGAGATAAAAATAGCATGAACTGTTGAGATACCACTGTCAAACAAGACGAAAACAATTTAAAAACCTAGATGGAAACACACACACAACACGTAAAGAGTCAACAATCATCAACACAAACCGGTTATTCCATTCGATTCTTTGAATTTTAGTGAGGATGATATAAGTCTTAGAATGTGAGTTGCTGATAAAGTGACAAAGATCATAAACCTACAATAACCAAGAAACATTCGATCATTAATCAATCTCCGCAAGGATCTCGCTTGTCCCTAAAAAAAAAACTGAACTTACCACTTTGCAAAGGAAAATGCCGGTGAGGACAGAAGTGTAAGGAATAAAAGGATCAGCTAAGAGATAGTTCTTAACCAAATGCTGAGCTTGATGATGATAAGACTTAATAGCACCAATCGTTTGCAAAGACGTCGTCGACATTGCAGATATAATAAAGATTCTGGTGCTCTTTCAACTCTATAAATCGGTTCTCATTTCATCATTCTACCACCTACACCAAAAACCCATATCAACAAAGAGATCAATCTCGAGACTTTTCATCAACCCAAATCCAGAATTTGTTGAAATTTCTCAATCTTAATCGATTCAAAGTAATCTGAGTTATGTGAATTAGAGATATGACAAACAAATTCCACAAACGAACCCTAATCTCAAAAATTAACAAAAATGCAAGCAAGGCAAATACCTAGATTGGGGAAGATCCTATAACAAAGAGTGAAATTAGCGAAATCAATCGAGAGATAACGAAACTGGGATTCAAAATCGAAGTCAAAGAGGATCCATTGAACCGATGAAGAATCGCAACGAAAGAAGAAGGGTACCTTTGGAAGAATCTGAAATTGAAGAAATGTACGCAAAGGGAGAAGAAAACCGAGAGAGAGAGAGAGAGAGTGAGAGAAAAGCAGAGGAAGGGTGAATCGGAAGTAGCAACAATTGAAGATGAAGAAAGCTTTAGCTTTAATCAAATGTGAAACGATAGAGAAATACAAAACACTCGATCTCTGGAAAAATATATTAAAAAAAAACTACAGCTGTTGCACGAAAAAAGAAAAAAAAAACAAACAAATACAGTAACAAGAAAAAAAATAAAAATGGTTGAATTTTAAAATTTTAAAGGCTAGAAATTAGGTTTCATGTGTAAAAAATAAAATAAATAAATAACGTATAAATATATGCCTAACTTATGTTAATGAGTGGGGTGAAAAAATTCGTATTTATTTTTTTGATAAAAAGAAAAGAATATACATTTTTTTGCTAACAAATGGATATCCTCTATATATTAATAGAAAAACATTTTTTTAAAAAAACCTTACCATCATGTGTTATTAACAAGATTGCCACGCTGATGTCGCTCTCACAATGATTTGGCTTCTATTTAGATAATTACCCAAGATTTATTAGACTATTTACAGAATTTGCCATTAGTCTCATACATCCATATATCCCATTAATAATTAAAAACATACACTTTTTGTTTATCTTATACTACTATATTTTTATATTTTTATATTTCTTTATATACATTTATATAAATTTTCTTTAGTGGATGGGTAAACAATCTTTTTATTTATATTTATATTTATGTTTATATTTAAATGATAAAATATATATATTTGGTTCAAGAATCTCGAATTCAAAACTACAAATCTTTACATCTTTCATAATTTTTTACTTAAATAAATAAGATAATCTCCTTTCTATATATGTTACGAATACTTAAAATCCTATTTTTTGGAGGAGTTCTAATTTTTCGAAGAAAAACATTATAACCACATTTGTATATAAACCAAAATCTGGCCACATTATAACTATTTCGTAAATAATCCATTCATAATCTAAGAATCTTAGATTTGGAACACTACAAAATCTTAGCTTGGAAACTATCAAATCTCATCTTTGCTAAATTTTGGATTTCTTATACTTATTAAAAAAAAAAAAAAATTCTTTTTATACTACAAAATCTCGAAATCTTTAAAACATATAGAAAGACATATTGCCATAAATGATAACATTCGTCAATACTTTTTTATCACGTTGAAGCTTTATTCAAAGTTTAAATATTTCACGGGTAAAACATATTCTTATATGAAATAGTTCCAAATTTGAATAAAACAAAAAAAAATTGTAACATGTTTACACAAACGGATATTGGATCCCGGATAATAATTTTAATCATAATAATTTTACTTGAATCACTTTATCCCGCACATCGTACGGGTTGTTATCTAGTGTATATATACGTATGAAAATAACATGAACCAGAGGATAACATAAAAAGATGATAAAATCTGAATAAAAATAAAGAAAGGATAGAGATTATTTATAGTTTGATTCGTGTGAATCACTTCGACTATCATGTCCTTTTCATTTGTTATTTATAACAAATCTTCTTTTTTTTTTGTTGCTACTTTTATATCTATATATACATTTTTGGATGACTTTTAGCAAATAAATCCTGGAGTTGGAATGTATTTACGGATGAATGCCATTGGCATTAATTATTTAAATTTGAAAAATATTAATTAAAGATATTACCAACACGATTTCGAGAATCATAAATTCATATCTTCCTTAATTTTCTGAGTCATTAATGTGATAATCTTTAGGAAATATTTCTCTGTAAAAAAAAAATCCACATTAATGAAGGCATTAAAATCGACACTAACAATTAAATTATTTAGATATTCAATTATTTTAAGATTCTTATATCTTATTTGATATTTTTTTTTAATATCTCATTCTTTAATTACTGCGTTTAGAATTTATTGGTTGTTACCTATCTTTTGGTGAAATTTATTGGTTGTTACTTAATAAGTAATTATGGTGCGTTTATTTTAGTTAATATCTAATTTAAAGGATTTGTTTTCTTTTATTATTAATAAACGAATAACATGTATAGAAATAAAAGATTTTTCTTGCGACTCCATAATAAAAATATTAAACTCTTATTTTCTACATTTCTTACACATAATATCCTCTTATTCAATAACAAAAAAATATATATTGCATATTTTTAAAAATATTTATAATATTTAAATTATATAAAAAGTTTGTAATATTAATATTATTTCAACTCTATACAAATTTAATATATATGTATATATATCTTATGGGAACCATTTAAAAGAAATTTTTAAATTGACTTGAATTATATAGCTTTTAAATAAAAGTATTATTAAAAAGAAAAATAACTAAATGATGTTTAATTTCACGGAACGGGTAATATGATGGGACGGGTTTGGGTTGATATTTATAAAAGATAGTATACCACGGGTGAAATCCTAAAATTAACAATGAAAATAATCTATCAAACAAATTACATTTTGATTTTTTTAAGAAAATATAGCCCCGCGGTGTACCGCGGGTTAAAATCTAGTACAAGAAAATAGGAAAAAAAATGTTTGTGACATTCTTATAATTTTCAAGAAAAATCATATAAGGAATCTACCATTAAATGAAATTCTAAATGAGAAGATACATTTGATGAAATATAGGATTCGAGAGTCAATGTAGTAAATAAGATTCTGCAAGCAACAAAACAACCAATCAATAAGAATATACATGTAACATTGAAATCGTGCAAAATCCACCTTCAATGATTGGTATAGCTATGGTTCATGAACCCAAAGAAATATCAGTAAGCTCCATAAAAAAAAAAAAAAAACAGAGAGCCCATAACTGATTTTATATCGAAAATAACAAGACCTCCATTATGTTTTTTTTTTTTTTTTTGTATGCATATGTTGGTTTGCTTGTAATGAGTTGCATGATCATTACACATTGCCACAAATAACCACATAGCTATTGTTCCACATGAATAGAAAAAAGGAATTTCAGACAGAAGCAGAACATGTAAGAGCCAAGATAGCACACTGCCTCAATTAACTCATACTTTCATGTCCCAGATCTCAAGCTTTCACAAAACAGAAACTAAATTGCAAGATGATATCAAAATATAAGCTATGTATTGAATCCAAAGTCTGAAAACTATAATAAAGTACCATAACATGACATAGTTTCAGCTCTAAAGAGCATTACAAATTATTTTCAACACACCAACGACCAAAGGAAAAGAAACAAACTATATCGATTAGATTCACGCACAAACATCCTTTCTAATCAGAAAAAGGAGTAAGAACTGCGTTATTGAGACATTCCTATTTAGATAATTATTTTAAGATCAAACCCTTTTTTCAGACGAAGAACATATTGTTCTCAATCTCTGTGTGAACTTTGAAGATCTCTTTGTCCTCCACTGTGAGAGAAGAGGATGAAGAGGCAACCGAAGCAGCAGAAGATGAAGACGCTCCACGCGACTGCTTAGAGTTCTTCTCCATAAAGCTTGCCTCGTAGTACAACCTTCCTCTAGAAGCAGCCTTGTCAGCATAAGAAACTGGAGGAACCAGAGCGACAGGTTTGGTGCAGCGAGTAAACGTGAAGCACACGTCAAATATGAGCTTCTGAATCTGATCCGACTTGAACCCGATTTCGTCGTACAGAACATAGTAATGAGTTGGTTTGCTTGTCCCAATCGCTCCATGGTGACTACAGAGATAGAAATCATACTCAAATGGGTGAATGATCTTTGTATCAACGACCGTACCTGAAAGCACATTGTCCTTATCATTGCTTGTGGCAGGGAAGAAACGGGTTTGATGACGCTTCTGTGCCACAATTACCGTTATCAACGGATTATATTCAATCTTTTTAAAAGTGTCCTTAACATTCTGTAACTCCACATTGAGAACCATATCGAACTGACCATCACTGACACCATCACGGAATATCACAATCTTGTTAGGTCGTTTCTTGGTGGCATTAGAATGAGCATTGACAAGCTCTAAGCAAGTTTCACCAAACCCTTGTATCTCTTCTTTACGGTGAGTCTGAGCTTTGACTCTAGCTGCGTAGCGGTTAGCTTCAGGCCAGTTAAGAGTGCCTACAACAGCAACAATGGATGGACTCATCTTGTCGTGAGCAGCGGGATGATTGACATCAGCACCAATGAACATGACCTCATCTTCTTTATTGAAGAAAGAGAAATAATTGTCCACCAGCTCCACGTTCGTTCCACCAACCTTTGCGTTTATCTTGAGGGCGAGATTTGCCAAGTACTGATCACCTCCCCTATTCGCAGAACCGGTCAAGAAACACTGAGTCACCAGACCAAGTTTGGTCTCGGCTAGCCATTTCAGAGTCTTGTAGCCATCGACTTTCCCAGACATAGCACACAGAACAAGAGTTGGACGAGCCCGATAGTTAAGTAAAGCCTCATCAATCACGGATCGAAGCAATTCCTCAAGATCATTACCATTAGAAAGCGTATCCATACTTAATGTTTTGCGAACGATAGGATTCTCCAACGTCATCCCAAGTCTGGAACAACGCGCAGTGAGTTCCTCAACAAAGTTATCAGGCATCTTGTAATTGTGCGGCTTCTTAGACGCGGTGAAGTCAAGAACAGCCCAATGCTTGATTTTTGATCCCTTTGTGACTCGCTTTATTGTAAGGTTCCATTGATTGTTCTTGCGGGGTTCCTCAGTGACAGGATTTCCTTTCTGATCAGTCAACATCAGTGTAGGAGCCTTGAGTACACGACCTTCCACCGTTGTCATGTTTGTAGCCACTTTCAGTCCAAAATTCCCAATGATATCTCCACTGTCATAAATACACATACAAAAGTATAAGATTAATGTCATAAGCTTTATAAGAGAAAACAAAAAAAAAAAAAGTTCATTGTACACATACCCGCTTGGTCCATCCCTAAGCTTTATCATATTTTCTATATTCTCCTTCCTTCGTTGTGGATTGACAAGGGACAAGTGTTTTAACCGGGAAGCTGAATTACCCTTCAATTTTTCTTTTGGATAAATCTGCCCCTCGACCAAGTTACAAAACTCCATGGGTACATAATTTTGCCGACCTTTTTTCCCCAAACTTAGGCAAGGAATATCCTTGTAACGGATGTCTTTTCCATACTTTTCCATGAAATACTTAACAATGGATACTTTC